AAACGAAGTTTTATACTGCTTGTTAATTCATGTTCAGTCTTATTTTCTGAACTGCGTTGATGTCGGCCTTGTCTTTACCTATTGAAGCCCGCCCCGCTCACGGTAGGGCTGCTGACTGAGCCCGTTCGCTTTCGTTTGTCCTCAGCTGCCTTTTTGTATGCAAATTTACTGATGGCTTTTTACATGGTCTTGATCACGTAAAAACTGTATATGTTGTTTTTGTTTGTTTTCAGATTCCACTGCAATTTATGCGAATACAAATCGTGCATACAAGCAAAAGTGAAGCGTCATCTGAGAAATGTGCACAAGTGTCCGATGGATGAGATGACGTATAATCCTGTTCCGGATATTCGCCTGAAGGTAATCGACATGAAGATGCAATGCTTCCCTAAAATGGACGAGGCGATGGATTTCCGTACCAACGCTACATCGTCACCCCTGGATTCGTCATACGCGTCTCCGGCGGTCGGCAAGTGCAAAGTCGTTTCTGCCGACGAGGCTGGAAGCCAATCAACCTGTGATAAACCCTGCACGTCCGATTCGGAAGACTCGCTGCAGAAGTTGACCGATGGCATGGAGTCGATAAGTAGCCTTATGAATTCGATGCTTGGCACATCGGACTTGGACCTGGACGATTCCGGTCACAAAGGAGAAATGTCGAAAGATGAAAATTCCGCTGCAGCCATTAGTAAGATCCCTTTGATTTGTTTTCCTCTTCTATAACGCTGTAAAGTTACCATATTTGATCCTTAAGTAGTTGCGTGACACGAAGTTACATAACCACTCATGTTGGGTCATACCGACCAATTACTTTTCCCTTGATCACATTGATGTTTTTTCTTAGAAACATGTAAGCAATATTGAGGATAATTAAAAACGCGGATTTATGCACTAGAACAAGAACGCGGGTTTTATTAAAGTTCGATTTTTTTTTTAAAAACATTTTCGGAACAAAATAAAACAGTTCAAGATACATTTTGCGCACAATGTTAACAAATATTCATTCTGCAAATTTTAAAGAGAAA